GGAAATTAAAAATTTACTTGAAATAAAATGATGTGTAACATGGGTCAAATGTATAGGACCAGAAGGAAAACCAGAGTAAGTTAAGACTTTATGTGGCTGATATACACATGAAGTTATGCGGAAGAGATCTTTTACAAAAATGAGGTACTCAAATTAATTCCTGCAATTCCAGAGACAGCTCATGATGAAATGATGGATGGAATGTTAGATGCTCCTGGGGATGGTATTGATATTTGTCATAAAAAATAATCCCAGGCTGTGTCAATTGTCTAAATACAGGGTATCCCAGGGATTGAGTTTCACATTTATGGGGGTGGGGCACTGCTGAAATACCAATGGCCTCACCCCTAAAGTGGTTGACACACAAGCCTGTGTGGGTAGAGCAGTGGTCCTTAACTAAGGAAAAAATTACAGCCACTTGAGCAACTGGAGGTTCAACATATAGAAGAGTCTATCAGCCCTTGGAATTCTGGTGTTTTATACTTAAAAGAAAGGAAAGAAGGAAGGAAGGAAGGAAGGGAGGGAGGGAGGGAGGGAGGGAGGGAGGGAGGGAGGGAGGAAGGAAAGAAAAGAAATAAATCAGAGAAATGGAGGATGCTAACAGTTTTAAAAGCAGTGAATAGACTAATTCAATCTATGGGTCCATCACAGTTGGAATTCCTTTACCTTCTTTATTACCTAAGTCATGGCCTATGATAGTAATTTCCACCTGAACTGCAGGAAACATTCTTATCTCTGTAGAGAGCCTTCCATTTATAGAAAATGCAGGATACCTAAAGAGGAATGACAGACATCTCACCAATCCTGGGGCAAGTTTAAAGATTTGAATTTGGAGGAAGGACTTAGTCCAAGGGACATGTATGACATCATCATCATTTGATTTCCTGCCTGAGGTTTTTTAAGTCATCAGCCTGATAAAGATACCAATTTGGAGGCTTAGTCTGGGTGGTGTGGACATTAACCAGGATTGCCTGGATCTCTGAACTCACAGCAAAGACTCAGAGGTGGCCGAGCTGCTAGGAGGTGGGAGGAGGGGCAGAGAGAGAAGTGGCATGCTGCAAAGAGTAGGGAGAATTAGGGTGAACTGGTGGGACAACAATATGATCCCATGACTGAGGAAGCAATTGTTTTGGGAATCTCCACTATGGCCTTTTTTAGCACTTTGAGATCTGTGATGGGATGGTCTTCAAGACATTCATTGTCAGAGCCATCTTTTGGGGAAGATGAAGCAACTTTGGTGGGCCTCAGCTTAGAGGGAACCACAAATTGGTAGATAGAAACTATAGTGGGCAGAAAATGGAGGAGAAGGGGGCTTTCCTTCCTGGTTCCCTTGGCAGTGGGTGAGATAAATGATCCAAGTCCATTGTACCAGAGTCATAAGGATCACCTACCACCATCAAGGGGACCGTCTCACGGACCCCTTCCCTAAAGGAATTGGCTTCCTTTTGAGTAAGTTTCATGCCACGAGTCCTGAGCAGGGTGCTTGGTCCTCTCATTTGAGACTCCTTTTAATGTGATGATGTATTTCCCATGATAGAAATGGTTTGGAAATGCCAAGATCAGAGGTTTCTGGTGGAGCACATAGCTCAACAGGGGATTCCTCAAAGTCCTACACATAAGCAAGAAAGACTCTGAAAGACCCCCCAAGGGGAGACCCAGGAAGGATGTGGACCCAAAGTCACTTCAGAGACCGTCTTGCTGTAATCACAAGAGTCAGGTACTTTATTATCGAAGCTTCAGGCAGATACGTGCCTCACGAAGGAGGTAGAGGTATCGACCTAGAGGGTTAATATAGGCTTAGGGTTAATATAGGCAAAGGCCGGGGGGAGGAAGGGGGTTGTGGGTAATCACACACAATTGGTTGTTTCAAATGTCTGTAATGTGTGTAAGCAGATCTTGGGCAGAAGTTTGACAAATCTCGAGGGAACAGTCTCTGGTCCCTGTGGCCTTGGGACCCAAGTGTGAATGTTTATCTGAGCCAACAAACTATCTGGCTGAATTTAATTTGCAAGTCCTTGGGACCTCTGGTGGGAGTTTTTCCAGAGGAGGCTAAGTCAGACACCACGGGAACAGATTCCCAGAACACTCAATTGACCTTTGTTTCCCTGTTCTGCATCTCCTGTGACAGCCTTGGATTAGCAAGCTAGCTGACCTGCAATTTTAACTACTTGAATTAGTGAATTAAGGCTTCCTGTTATACTATTGATTTTAAACTAACTTAAAATTTTCCTTTTCAAGCCTACCTGCAAATTTCAGAGAATCTGGTGACTACCCTAAGGAATTTTAACTGGTCATTGCATTACTGGTTTTTTTTTTTTTTTCAAACAAAAAAAACATAAAGGTTTATGGTCAACATCCAAGTGGGATGATGGGTCTGGGAAGAGGGCTGGGGGGATTGTACCAATACCAAGGAGTGTCTGTGGTCAGAAGGTGTCAGTTGCCCTAATCAATGTACCCAGTCCCTCAATATGATGCAAACCAAAAGTAAGACAGAGAAAAAAAAAGACTGTAAGCCCTTGTCACAGGAGGCAAGATCTCTCTCTCTCTCTCTCTCTCTCTCTCTCTCTGTGTGTGTGTGTGTGTGTGGGGGGGGGGTGTCAATGTACTCTGTGTGGGATAGCTCACCTTCCTCCTGTGCATACTTGTGGTCTTCATGCCCCACATTGTGTACCCAGCTGGTATT